TTATCTACAATGGTAAATCCCAACGCGAATCATGATTAATAGAAGTCCGCGCCGCGCCGCTTTGTTGAGAAAGCCAAAATCGCTTGGGACGTTGCAAGTTGTGTAACAGAGAAGTGATTAACCAATTCGTTTGCAAAAAAAAATAAAAAAATAAATAAGTAACAAAACATGCATATAGTATGTATACGTACGTACGTACATGAATAGGTATGTATGTATGAGTAAAATAAAAAAAAAATCTTAAAACTAAACAAAATGAAATTAAATAATTATTTCAATTAAATTTGAAAAGGCGAAATTGTTCAGTGCGGGTATTCCGCAAAATACATTCATATGTTTGTACATACATACATATGTATGCATATTAGACAACGTCAAAAAAAAATCCTGCAATGCGACCAGAATAGGACTAAATTTTAGAATTTGACAATTTAGAATTTAGGACAATTGTAAGAGCTGCCGCGCCGAGCCTTTAATTTTCCCATAGGACGTAAGAAAATCAGTTCTTTCCTGTTGAGGTTAACATAATTTTCTAGGATCAATGAAAACTCGCGAAACTGTATAAATACATTGATTGCATGCCACTTAAGTATTGTGCACTTTATTTCACTTTTTCTATTATAAATCTTTATTTAAGGTGTCGAATTTAGAACAAGTTCGGAACTATCGAAAAATGGATGCAGCGGGGGGCTTGTTTACTTTGCATAGATGTGTGTTTGGCGGCTTTTTCTGCACTTCCCGGATGCTTTTTCATAGCTTGGTAATACAAAATAAAAATTGATCTCAAAAGGAAAGAACTCATTTTCTTACGTGTGATTCCTATGTGAAAACTAAATGCTCGACGCGGTACCTCTTACAAGAGCGAGAGAGGAGAGATGCATGGATGATCTTTACTAAATATAGCAAATGCTAAAATTTGAGTCTTATTCGGGTCGAATTTCAGATTTTTTGTTTGTTTATTTTTTACGTGGTCTAATGAATATGTCCCAAACTGGAAACGGTTCCAGACCAATACAGAAATTCCGCATTTATGTTGCTCAGGGGGTTTTGGAATCGCCGCTTGAAAAAAAGTGCGATAAGCGTTTTTTAGCACCGTTAAGGACTTCAATGAAACTGTAAGCAAACGTTAGTTACACCGAGAATCATCAGCTTTAAATCTTTAGCGGTGAATCTAATCTTTTTTTCACTATTCCGCAAAGTTTAGCTACGCTAGAGGATTTTGGTTGAGAATCCTTCCAATCTAGTCGAGTTTTTATGAGCTAGCAGCAAGTCTTCCACAAAGGACAATACAAAGTTTAGGACAAAAAGTTCAGAAAACTTGGGACTTTATTACCCGGTAAGATATTTAATACCCCCTCAAGATTAGAAAAACGAATCCTAATTTTTTTTCTGTACACAAATATTAACTTTCTTTTGTTTATTTGTGTATGTTGTTTCTAAAGATTGGTTAACATCGCACTGCTTTTTTGGAAATGGCTTCTTCGCCAATGAATTCCAAAGGCTGTAAAATCGAACTTCCAAATGTTTAGTGTTAGTAATATATTTAAGAAAGTTAAATAAATATCTGATCAAAAAGACCCACAATGGAAGCAGTGAACGGGGTTAAAAAAAGGTGCATGCAAATAGACTACTTAGTAGAAAGCTTTTTATGAAGACAACATTGTATTCTTAATTACTAAACCGTTAAGTTATAAAAACTTTATTTCAAACAAAAATTATCAGGGTAGCTGCTTACATATGCATACATATTTTTCGCTCCCACAACTAACCTGAATGTATGTAAATGAGATACTAACTAACCACATCCTTTCGTCCACAGCTTCCGTGTCTAGTAGTGGGAAAAATGTAAACATTGGGGCAAAAGCTCTTTGCTGGCGATTAGAGATGGGAAATCAAATAACATTGTGAAAATATTTATTTTTTGTCAGAAACTGATTTATGGGTTCGCAACAAAAAACTCAGCTTCTCCAACAACAACAAAGTAGGTATTGTTTAATGCCGCAACATGAACATCGGCAGAAATGTTGCAGCTTATTGATGTATGTATGTATGTATGTATGTACATAAGCCGCATAGCATGTCATTGTTAACCTTCCTTTTTTCCGCGTTTTGTTTGCTCGCAATCTTTTTTTTTTTTTTTTTTTTTTTTTTTTTTTTTTTTTTTTTTTTTTTTTTTTTTTTTTTTTTTTTTTTTTTTTTTTTTTTTTTTTTTTTTTTTNACAGAGTCCATGCCACTTAGCTATGTATAACTGCGCTCTAATCGATAACTGGTCCTGCGCATGTGCGCCCCGCTGCACTTAGTTGAATAGTATCTACAATTTTATTTATTTTTTGTATGCTTACTTCTTCCATTACTTCAAAGAGTTTTCTCTTTCCGTGAAGTCTTTCTGTTTAATGGCTAATGGTTGCACTGCTTTGGTCGGTTATGGCGGTGCACTATGGATTCAATTTCGATGGCAAAAACACAGATGGCAGATCGTCTGCTGCGTGCAATGCCTCCTCTAGTGATTTAAGACCTTGTGCATATCAAAAATTACGACATCCAGAGCATCTAGCGTGTCCAGCACGCAACTGTAGCGACGAGGTCATCGATACCCTCTCATTTGCCAGTGTAATTGCCAGCTGTTGACTGCCGAACAATACGCGCCGCAACAGGGCTTAATTAATGGCTAGATATACATAACTGCCGCCAACTGCCAATCTAAAGTCTGACACCTAACATGAATTAATGTCAGCGCAAGAGATTTTACTAGTCGACCGGCATAGCGACAGCGTTTAGTGGAGCGAGGCAAAGCGTGACAAGGGAGATTGTCACTGCTGCTGCCGCCTGCCTGATCGCGCTTGAGAGCCGCTTACAAGCGAACTGTGATTTAAGGTCGATGCTCGCCATTTGGCTGTGATGATTGATTTTTATTCGATTTGATCTTTTCCATGGAGTGACATCCAACCTGACTACGACTACACTCTTCCTCGGCTAGTGTGGGCTTTGCGGTTTACCGTAAAACTCGGCCACACATACATATGTATGTATGTATGTATGTATGTACGTACGTTGTACAGTATCAGTAAACTTTTACTCTTCGTATCGTTCGGCCTAGTGTATAAAGCCTTATAAAACTGTGAAAGTTTTGGTCAAACTGAATTGCTATGGCTTGAAAGTTGCGAACTGCGAAGTGCGATTTGATTGATTACAAATCTCTCGTCGGCGTGTGTGAGTGAGTACGGCGAGTAGAACACCACCTACCTATCAAATGGCGAATGAAATGCGAAGCGTCAATTCTAAAAACAAAATCACTACATTTATCATAGTGAAAATAACACCTTTTCGAAGCGCTATTTGGTCCCATCGGCAGCGAAATAATTCAAGATAAATATGCTTTACAAAACCTGTTGAAGCACCAGCATCAATAATGGAAAATTATATGGAGCAAATGTAGAGCAATGGAAATTTGTGCACACATAGGCATACCTACATATAGACACACATCGTTACATATGTACATGTACATTAGGCTGGGTCGATTTTGTATGGGGGAAAATAAAAGGCATTTGACCGTATTATAATAGTAAATGTTTTAAGTCTAAGCCAATTGTTATTGGCCACGAAAGATTAATTTAAAACTTATCTTTAGCCCTCGCAATCGAGTCAAAGTGTATGAATTTTGAAAATTAAATTTCCTATATTTCCAATTTTTATATTGTATGCGTAAACATAAGTAAACTAATAAGTGCTTCTAGAAATTATGCCTGCTCGGTGTTTCCTCAAACTCATTTGTATAAACAAAATTTTTCCACGATGATGGAAAATAATGGCTTTTCTATTAGAGCTACCGAAATTGTTCCAAAATTTGGAAAAATTCGCAAACTATAGCTAATAGCTAAAAAGGATTAGAATATTTGGAAACAGTAACATAAATGCAGGCCAGCAATATTAATGCTATTCTTTACACCTTTTGACTATAACCCAGTGCAATTATCAAGAGAACAATTACAATTTTATTGAAAACAGATAAGTTTGAGATTAACCATAAACTATAGGGCTGCGAGAAATGATATTTGACTTTAGCTTTTACGTTAACGGATTCATTATCTAATAATATGCACCAAACCTAATTGATGAACCCAGAATTTTTAACAGGAACACTTAGCGGTCGATGCGCGGGCTCTTACAATCAAAATAAAATACTAGTATTTTGCAGGCTTGTTGTTGACTTCATGATACAATATATTTTCACTATTACCAAGGGATTTGAGAAAAATTAGATTTTCGACCCGCCCTAATATACATGTGTACGCACATAAGTGATTGAGAGTGCACAAATTACTTTGGGCTTACTATTTAGTATGTATATACATATATGTATGTTTGTAATAGTTGTATGACTCAGAACAGAACACAAATTCTAAGAGGAAGCATTTTGAGGAGCAAGGAGCGTTTAGAATGTGTCAGCTTGCAGTGAAGTTTTAGTTGGATTCGAAGCTCGAAAACATTTCGTTAAGAAGGCGAAAGTTCACTTCAAGCTGTTATTGTGAACGCTCCCATACTGCAGCACCTTTTAAGCGCTTTTTACAATCTCGACAAAACAAAGAAAAGGTTGGTTTCGCCTTAAAAAAGAGTGTCATTAATTAACAAAATTACACCAAATGCAGGGTATTTCTGGAATCGTTCTTTATCCAACACTACATATAACCAAGCGAGTGGCCCACGTGTATCACCACTGGGTAGGACCCAGTGAGCTCAATCGGTGGTGCATAAACGGTTTAGACTGCATCTCGGCCAATTGTAATTGATGTCCATACAGAGTCCATGACTGCGTTATCAGACACCTTTTATTGCATTCTGTCAGTATCCGCTCATAAACTTGCAAGACGTTATTCAGATCTGCTTAAACCTCAAAGCCTACTTCGCCGCAAATGCGATTTTGAGTTTCAGGTTCGGCTATCTTATATGTGCATACATACATACATATAGTATCCATTTATATGTATATGCAACTTACCGCAGTCGAGCTTTTCTTGCGCAGTAAACCGTCGAGCCAAAGTTGCACCTCGAATGCCTTCAAATATAACAAGTGATAACGGTTCTGCAAGCGATCCAAGCTATCCTCAACAATCTTGGAAGAACTTTCCGCTAGCTCAGGAGAGCCAGTGGCTGACCTAGCAGATGATTTCCTCGGCGACAGGGATGACTTTTCCGCAGTTTCAATTCCGCTGCTGCTGCTGTCGCTGCTCAATTCGTCGCTGGCTTGTTGTTCGCCTTCACCTGTTGCTTCCTTTGTTGTCGTTGGTGGTTCCTCTTCGTTGGATGTGAGTGATGAATTGCTTAGTTCCGCTATTGTTGTGCCGCAACTGTCGAACGATTGCAGCTGTTGCTCTTCTTCTTGCTGTTGTTGCAGATACACCTGCCCCTGGTGCTTTTCTGATGCAGCTCGGATGCAGGCGCTTACAACTCGCGCATGTGATACAATTTCATGGTACAACACCTGGAACGAAACAAAAGTTAAAAATATTTAGTAAAAAATTCACCACGGACAATAAAACGCAAAGTGGATAATGGTTAGAAAGTGGCATCAAATAAGTACATGCATACAGTGGTCGAAATAATTATAGCCGCACCACATTTTGGCAACGTATTATTTTTTTTTTGTTCTTTAATTTTTATTATTTTTGTTTTAAAAATATATGTAGGTAGTTCATTCTTTAATAAAACCCGTGTAAATCCAAGTCTGAAATTTTTTGCAATATGTATTAAAAAAAATTCAATAAACTCTCGTAAAAATTCGAGGGGCAAATGTGAAAGTTTCAAATGGCTAAAAATTACCGTTGATTTTTTAGAGTTTTTTTATCGAAGATATTATGGGTTTTTACGTATAAAAATAAGTTGAGCTACATATATGGAAGCGACCGGGACAAAAAATTCTAAAAAAAACTACCGTAATTTTTAGAGCTATTTGAAACTTGTACTTTATTCAATGGGATGCAAAACTGCATACTCAGAATCTTTCAAGGAAATCTCAATTAAAAAAGCTAGAAATGTTTATGAAAGTTTTTTGATTTTTTTTTTTAATGTTGCACAAACTTTGAAACTTAGATTTCCATGCATTTTGTTAAAGAATGAAATATATTTTATAACAAAATAACCAAAATTAAATAACAGAAAAAATAATACGTTAAAACTTGTCAAAATAATTACTTCGACCACGGTATGTAAGTATGGGGGTGTGTATGACAAAATTGTTTTTATCAAAAGATAGAAGAAAAAACAAGATGACTTTACAATAAGATATCCAAGTTAATACCCACATCTACGAAGGTGTATGTGCCAACATATTTATATGTTATTACCTATGTGCACACATGCATCGTATGTTCATAGATACATAGATACATATCTACAAGTTTATGTTACTATGTTGTAAGTATGTACATATGTACGTTTTTTATGGTACTTCAACAGCTTTTGTTTGACCATTAATCAGCTAATCTGATCTGATCGCAACAACAGACGACCGACACACAACCCACCTCCCACCGCTATTTGTAATTCTCCTCCTTTCTAGGCTCGCCATACATATGTACAAACAAACACAGGTACAAATGTGCATTCAAAGATTGATTGCTTTGTTTGTGGCAGCCTCTCTTATCTCGGCGTTGTGCAAGCGCAAACTGACCTCTTCAACTCTTGCATAATGATCACAGATTGTAACCCCTGCCAACCGAGGACAAACATAACAATTCATTTATATGGATACATTGTCAATGGTTGTCGGAAATAAAAATCTCAGCAAGACGATACGGCGATCGGAATTGATGACTTATGACGGCTGTGACGGTGACTATGAGACGCGACGCGGCAAGGTGTGGTGTGAAGTGTTGGCTTTTGGATAACAAATCGAAAAAAATCTCACTATATATATATACATATATATCCATCCATAAAGAAACATGTCTGGCATATTTGCCAATGTAATGTGCCCAGTTGAAGACGGGCCCTAACTAAACTCTTTTCGATTGCAACTACCGCGACCATTCGTTCTGTTCTCAGCCGAACGATTTTACTTTTGAAGGAGTTATTATAAGTTAAGTACATAAGTACATATGTTGGAAATTTTTCACTTTATCCTCTAATTTAAAAACAAATACTACGAATGCAAAATTTCCATAGTTATTTGATACGACTAAATTAAATACAAATCCATTTTTTTTGCATAAAACGATGTGGGGAGTTGCAATGCGATGAAATCCAATCAAAAATTTAATTTTTGATATTTGTTTGGCTAGGCTTTTTGTATTTCAGGTGAAACTATATCTTAAAAGATTCTCCTATCCATTCGAGTCCACGATATTTACCCAAATCTTTTCGCTTACTTGGACAAAGTTACATATGCATACATATGTACGTATGTATGTATGTATGTATATACAAATGTACTATTAAAAAATATAAATAAAAATTAAGCCATCAAACAATGAACGAGAACAAGAAATCACAGCCCGAAATAGACGAGATATGCGTCATGTTCATTGGCCAAAGTATGTGGAACGCCACACACAGCATCGCATCGTATCGCATCGTATCGCACGCAGCGCATCTTGTCATGGCATCGTCATCGCGCGCGCGTAGGTTTCGTTGCCAATTTTCAGCGATGAAGCACTCACTCAATGCTGCTTGCCGCATATCTAGACTACGCATACATATATATGTACATACGTACGAATTCGCTTTCTATCCCAGCAACCAAAGAATACATATCGAGCCCTAACCGCCAAAATAACGTAAGCAACATTTTTTTCGAAATTTTATTTTTGATGCAGAAATATTTCTAGAGCATCTAGATGCAGATGAAAATTTTGAAAAAATTTCGCCTACGTTATTTTGGCGGTTAGGGCTCGATATGTATATCGGGTGCGCCAATAATGAGGCAGAGAATAAGCTTCTTTCAAATCAAAGTATGTATTAAAATTAAAATAAGTATACCACGTACATACATACATACATACATACATACATATATTTTACTTAATCACAAAAACTGTGCAGCGCACATTTTATACAATCTCCCATTCACAAAACTCAAGTCGTAGTTCGAACGCCATCAGCCCTATTATATGCAGCGTTGCCGCTTTGGTAATTTTTAACAAAAGTTGGTAATTTTTTTTTTACTTCTTTATCAAATTTGGTAATTTACTTTTCAATTTGGTAACTTTTTCGATTCGTTCCATCTTGTTGGAACCACAAATTAGGATGCTGCTTTGCCGTTGGCCGTTGTAAGAAGCTCCAGAAATCGTTTCTGGCGTTTCATTCTCATTCTCGAAGAAATATGGGCCGATAACTTTTTCGGCCATAACACTGCACCAAACAGTGCATCTGGATGGGTGAAAGGCCCACAATCTACATTTTTGCTTGTTGACATCAACACTTAAATGGAAATGCGCTTCATCCGACATGAAAACATACCTAAAGAATCAATTTGTTTGGCTAATTGTCTAAAACGAATAGCGTATTGTAGTCGTTGTTGTTGGTGGTCTTGCTGTACGTATCCATTATAAGATTATATAAGAGATTAACTATAACATAAGGTGCATTCTTTTGCAATAGAGCTACAAAAGAACACTCGCTTAAATGACGAAATACACGCAATGCAACAACACAAACTCGGCTATTTATCCGAGCTCAGCCAGGTCGGTTAAAAAATACGCGACCTGAAGGGTAGTGTTGTCAAGTGAAAAAAAAATGCTCTATTGTGAATTGTTAATGGGAAAGTGGATAGGGAAATTTTTGTTTCCATATATACGTGACTAATATTTTAAAAGAGTATATATATTACGCAAATACCTCGCGTGATTACTCATTTAAATTGGTTTTTGTATCTAAATCCCGTTAAACTAATCACATGTTTCTTGCCAGCTAAGTAGCTAAAAGGAAATTTTACCTATAAATAAAGAAGTTATACGTGTTTAATAACATTGGTAGGTCTTATTTGGCCCACCCTGTAGAAAGACCAGGTGACCAGGTAAACCTGGAAGTTGTTTCAGCGTTCATTGGCTTCTAGAATGGCGTGATCTCTAACAAACTGATTAAAAGTATCTATTGATATATGTATGTATGTATGTATGTATGTATATGTACGTTTCCTGGGGGGTTATGGGTGGTCGTACCTTTCCTTGTCAATTCGTTAATATCCCAGTGTACCCCGGCAACTAAGTATACATATTTACATATTAGTAGAGATCTATGTACATGTATTCTCGTTCAAAAGCCTGCGGCATTCAGTAAGGGACTTCACTTTGTCTTAAGCTTTCAGGACTGCCTTCAAGCGTTTTTTTTTTTTTGAGGTATTTTCGACCAATTGTTGATATTGTTGTATATTAGGCGATATCTTGGCCATAACTGGACAAAAGTTAATTTTCAAAAGCTCCGAAGTTTGAGGGTTTATTCGCATAAATACGGCCATCTGAGTAGCCTTATAAAAAGTCTAACGGTGCATAGTCGGTCTACCGGAAATCATGCTGTGTAATGGGCCTTATAGGGATGAAGATTAATGTAAATACATATCGTCGCTACCATGTCAAACTATCGAATGTTCGAAAATGGTTTTTCAATTACGATACCTTGCCCATGCATTTAGAGTGGTACGCAAATTGGCGAATCGTTAAATTTCGAGTTTTCTCATTCAATAGTTTGACATGGTAGCGACGATATATACAAATGCAAAATATTTGTTTATGTGCCATAAGACAGTACCAATTTTTTAAAACGACGCGCAATCGACAAATGTATTACCTCGGTCACACTTAAGTTTGAAAACCTCACCAAACGCCAGACATAAAAGTTATAGCTGAATGGAGCGCTGGAAGCATGAAAAGCGCAAATTGATTGAAAAATTTGTTGTGGGATTTTAACTTTATGTTATCTGATACCGACCCATTGTATTCGGATATATGCACACACACACATACACCTGTACAGTTCTGCACATAAAATAAGTTTGGTAATTTTTGTTTTTTTTTTTTGAATTTCGTAACTTTTTCTGGTGAGTTTGGTGGAAAATTAAAAAAAAAAAATGTTGTGGCAACGCTGACTATATATAATTTAGTATGTATTTTAAGCACCAGTAAATAAGGTGTGGCACCTATTTTTCCCATGCCAGTTTAGAGCGAAAGGCGCTTGGCAAAAAATAATACATACTTACATACATTTGTATCTAGATTCTAGAATAATTGAGTAATATTTAATAGCTAGAATAGCTAAGGTTGATTTTTATATATAGGAAGCAGTGGCCAACAAAGAGTGGAACGTAAACAAAAGGTGAAGGTGATTTCTGTTTGGACCATTCGGATTGAATGAGTAATAAATAGAAATAGAATCCGCGGAGCGCAGTGAATGCAAAATGTTCAGCGGTGGAAGGTCGTCGCGTCGCATTGTTGTTGCTACGGAATATTTAATTTCAGTTAGAGCTAGTATTGTATGGCAAAAGTTAAT